TATTCGCAAATATTCAGCGTATTTTACACTATTACTGTTGTACTGGCCGTATACACTTGGATTAGCAGTTTTATTTTACTGTTACAAGTAACATGTAATTATATAAAGAATTACGTTTACATTTTCTTAAAACTCTCCTCATTACGGAGTATGTACAGAAATATAAATACAAATTCTTTGACATGAAAATGTACAATAAGAAACGTTTAAAAAAAAGGTATGAAATTATATAAACTGGCTCGGTACTTGGTACTCTATTGTTCGCGTTTTATAAATTTATCAATTTGTTCGAGCAAACGTAATACGCATAAATTACATCATGTATGTAATAATGTCGCAAATCATTTCAAACATTTTCCGAAAGTTAAATAAGCATCTGCCGTAACTGTTTGCTTAGTATACGTAATATTCACAGAATTCGATGTGTCAATCGACAAGATTCAATAATTATTTAACAACAGATAAAAATAAGGTCGTTATCGAAGATAAAGACGAACTAATTTTTCTTTTCATAAGTCAACACCGAAATATTGAGTCACGTTATTATCACTTTATAATAACAAAATTATATATTTATTAATATTATATAGTAAAATAGAAAATGAAATAAGATGCGAATCCGATCATGTTCTGCTATATAATAAAAAACAGGAAAATCACATACAAGACCAACAAATTAAATTAATTAATAAATTTATAAATAAGTTAAGTTTGTTCTTTTATAATGTGATAGAAGTGTGCAATAATATAATTTTTATTTCGTTCAACGAAGGCTATGATCCTGTAAGACATTTAGTTACTGAAAAATAAGGAATATCAAGGCAAATAATTGTTTGGTCTAATCTACAAAGAATAAATTTAAACTGATAAACTGTAGTGAGTCGATAGTTTGTCATTGCTATCTATGCGATATCGTCTTACAGCTCGATATGATTCATCAGCGAATGACTACACATATAGCTGGCGTAATCGCTGATTATCTTATCAATAACGTTATTCGCACGACGATGACGCTTTAAAACATTCTTCTGATACTGATGTATCGCAAGTATGCGATGAATATAAGTACTAATATTTCATTCAATAAAGAAAAAAAGCAAACCGATAACAGAAAACTTTTCAACCTTTTACATCATTCGTGATTTTTTGTCAGGATACATATGTGTGTATGTGTGTGTGTTTATGAACTATATCGTACGAAGTAATCTGCATTATGGCGAATCAATAATATACGATTTGCAAACATATAAATCTTGATCTTTAAGCATTTTATTATTCTTTAGCAAGTCGAAAAAATAAGGGAAAATGAAGGAACGTTTAAATTTACGTAAAACCATTTTCTGGGAAGCATTTATTAATTGGACATTATATTGAAATTAATTTTTTTATAATGTATCGAACATATTTTCAATAAATATTTTAAATGTCGATACAATCTGAGAGATGTCACAAACACAAATATTATTTATTTTATTATTTACAAATAGTATTTTTCTCTATTTGTTTAAAAATTTTGTAGCACATGTATAAACATATATAATTTAACAGAAATATAGAAAATAATACTTGCTCAAACTTAAGAAATTTTCAACATAATACAGATTCATGCTGGTATTATTTCTGTTTTTTGAAATAAGAATATTCTGCATTTAATAAAAATGAAGATCGTTTTCCATGGAAGATTAGGTTTGTCCACAAAAATCAAAACAACATAAGTATATAAAAATATATCGACACTTCTAACAATAAATACAATGCAACTATAGTTCTAATAAATTAATAAGGGACTTGTCACATAATCTTATTACCGCATTTCGTATGAATATATACACAAATACACGAACACACACGTGATACATATTATATATAGAGTGTTCCATTTTAATTTATTCCTTTCCCTAAAAAACTTTTTTATTTTTGATTACGGAAAAAATGCTTCAGACAAAAGTTGTAGGATTGCAAGGGGGACACATTGGGGAAGGAAGATATTGTGACTTTGAATTACACTTGGGTAGCGTTTTTCAAGATCATTTTCATGTTAATACTATTTTTTTTTAATGGAATCATATAGTTTCTTTAACACAAATCGATTCTTCTATTCATTCTTTGTATTAAAAATACTAGAGTAAGATTATCGAAAAACTAATACTTTTCGAGTAAGTATACTAGAGTAAGACTATCAAAAAACTAATACTTTTCGAGATATTCTATTTTTTATTTTGATATTTTTCAGCACAAAATATCTCACAACTCTCTGAACATTACAGTAAGATTATAGAAAGTTTACAATCGTATACATTTTAATGAAAATATTACTAGTATATACCATTAACTTTATAATATAATCTTACATTATAATATTATCGGAAGGTTGATGACATTTTATTTCAATATTTCAATAATTTTAGCTTTACTTTTTTTTATGACTTTTATATGACTGTTCTACCTGGGCTAGTACAAGACCTGCACAGAAAAAAAATTTCTTTAAATTTAATATTTCTGTTTGCTTTATTTTAATTTCCTTGAATTTTTCCAAGTAATTTGTCATTTAGATTAACTATTATAATATTTGGTTAAAAACCCAAAAACAGTCGCGGCATCTCTGATACAGTAATGTACATTATATCAATATTCGTTGCATATCATCTGTTGTTGAGTTGCTTTTAATCCCAGTAAGCAAAAAATCATTACTACGATGTTATAATGATTATTATAATGACTACGATGTTATAATGGTTATTATAATGATATTCAACAACATGTAACACATTCAAATGTATCGTATTTCATGTTTTATACAACATTATTATGAACAAACTTTGACCCTGATTTAGAGATTTCGATAATATTGAAATGGAAGTGTCATAACGTTGCAAATAACGTTGCGCTAAAGTATTTCTGTCGTTTCCATAATTTGAATTTAATATTGATGAAACGATAAAATTTAAACGTACTAAGTTATGACTGCGTCAATGATATCTATAAATATCATTCTAGGCTCCTATTCTTGAAATATGGTTACCTATATGTAAGTGTCGTTGCGCAGCTATTTTATGCTATAATTATATCTGCGTAGTGACACGTATACGCAATTATTTCAACTATAAGAGCCCTGGTAGTGATCTTATTACTTACTGACTGGCCACGGTCATACATAAGTTAAATTCGTCTTGCATACTTTCGTGCTGAAAATATTATTCTACCTTTATTCCTCAGTATATGAGAAAAAAGATAAAATGATGCTTTTAGCATGAAAGCGTGTAAAACAAATATAACCAAAAAAATATGCAGCCGCTGCTGCATTTACAAAAAAATGCATTTACAAAATGCATCGATTTTTTAAGGTTCTTCTATATTTGCTTACAAGGATCGACTCCATCGATCATTCTACATACAAAAGTGTTGAGGTGATGTTATCAAAAAGTGAATACTTTATAAAACATTTCATATTTTCTGTTGAAAAATATCAGAATAAGAAATAAAATATCTAATTAGTATTAATTTTTCAATGATTTTATTAATAATTTTATATGCAGAATGAATAGAGGAATCGATTTATGTTGAAGGAACTATATGAATCCATTAAAAAACATAACGTTAACATTAAAATAATCTTGAAAAACGCCACCTAGGTACAATTTAAGGCCACGATATTATATTCACCTCGAAACCATACAACTTTTATTTGAAGCATTTTTTCTACAATCAAAAATAAAAATGTTTTGGGAAAGTAAATTACAATGGGACATTCTATATGTATAAACGTGATAACATCTCACATAATGTGATAATATTTCATATAAATGCGCGCACCCATGCACACACACACACACACAAATATATATAGAATATATTTGATGTCTTTCTCTCTCTCTTTCTTTGTGCGTGCGCGCGTACATGCATGCGTGCGAACGCGGGTATATATACCGAATGTCCCAAGTCGTTCTCAGTTTCTATGGCATAAGGTGGAACAGGTGAAACTGAGCAGAAAAGTCATGTACCATTTTGCAAAATTCGCCATAGTTGGTGAAGAATTAATTATTTTATCTGAGCTAATGAACGTACCCTGGTGAAAATAATTTCCTAAATTTCTATGAAAAAGTCTATAAATTGGAGCACTTTCAAAGAAATATAGAAAAAATCAGAAAAAATATTTTACTGATTGAGTTTGAAAAAAACTGCATTTTTCTAAAAATCTCTATTTACTTTCTGATATTTTCTGAAATTTTTTTATTTTCTCTAAATATTTTTGCAAAATATTGAAATTTTTTACGAAAAATATATGATTAGAATTTATCATTATAAATATATGAAAGTTAAGAATTAGTTAAAATGACTTTATCTTACTTTCTCAGAATTACTAAAAAATACTCTGAATTCCTCAAAATTATTCCGAATTACTCAAAATCATTCTGAATTACAATGAATTGCTCAGACTTACTGATATTCTCTAAGTATATTTTGTCTAACATTCATATATACATACATACATATGTACATTCATATGTACAGTTCCAAAAGGTTGTTTCGGTAATCAAATGTCACATTATAAATATAGTATATGTTTAATAATACAATATATAAATAATACCATATATAAACAAATATAAGCAATGTATAAAACCAGAATGTATTTTCTAGAAATACATAATAAATACAATTTCGATAAACATTTAATTCAAAATGTTTTTTGCATCTATGTGCCCTTACAAAAATTTGTTACTAAAAATTCCTAACTTTTCTTCATAACTCGTCTTTTCATACAAAGAAAAAAACATTTTAAACTTTTTCATACAAATTTACGAAATTTGTAATATAATAATCAAATCTTTATTTTCGTCTATATGCAAACAGAGTAGACCTCTACAAAACTTTCTAAGGACGTCCTGGGGAAGTCCCGACCAAGAATATGCTCAGGACATCCTTTGGAGTTTGCGGACTGCCTGTGAAATAACCAAAATATCCAATAAACTCTGAAATTCTCTTCACATAACAGAATACATAAAGAATTTGTCAAGCTACTTCGTATTCGTTAAAAGATCAGAGATTTTCAGGATAATTTTAAGATTTTCGGAAAAAATAAGAAATGAAATGAAATAATTTTTAGGAAAACATTGTATTTTTCTGTTAATCTTCTCTTGCCTCATATTTTTCACATAAAAGTGGACGCTTTGTGTTAAAATTATATTTTCCAAATTTTTTCTTATAAAATTGAAGTGGAATAAATTATTTTGTGAATATAGCATGAAATTTTAATTTTTCCTACCAAATTATATGATTTTGTAAGAGAAATTATAATTTCAAAAAACGTATGAATCATTCAATATTTTTCAGAATATTTCAATTTCATAAAAATTATGGAAAATATAATTTTAACATGAAAGGTCCATTTTTGTATGAAAAATATTAGAACAGAGAAGATTAAAGGAAAACATATGTATAATAATGTTTTCTTAAAAAGTATTATATTTTATTTTCTCTTTTTTCTGAAAAATTTCAAAAAAATATTATATTTTCTCTGAAAAGATCAATTTTTAGGGAAAATCAAAAATCTTTAGAAAAAAGAAAAAGAATTTTCATCATGGTACAGGAAACGGTAGACTATATTTAAAAAATGGCTTACTTCTGAAGATCTCCTAGCAACGGTGAGTATCAACTAATGGCGAGAGACGTGTTTCTTTTCGGCGCACAACTCTGTATGACATGACGCTCGCTACTTGCTGCGTTATTTCACTTTTAGAAATCAATTAATGCTTATCATTGCTAGATTTTCAGAAGTAAACCATTTTTCTTTACACAATATCCAGTCTGCTTTTTTCCGTACGTTTATTAGCTCAGACAAAAAATTAATTCCTCGCTGACTATTGTGAATTTTGCAAAATGGTACATGACTTTTCTGTTCAGTTTCACCCGTTCTACCTGTACACCACGGGAACCGAGAACGGTTTGAGATACCTTGTACACACACACACACACACACACACACACACACACACACACACACACACACACACACACAAAGTGAAGCAATAACTATTGCCAAATTGAATATTCTTTAAATTGAAATATCAAGATCCTATTAATTTGAGGTTGTACAGTAGTGAGAGGGATGCATTTTTGGATAAAAAATAATTTGACCTTGAATAAACGCGTCGAAGTAAAATAAAGGTCACCTTTATTTTACTTAATGGAATCATAATTTTTGTTTCAACACAAATCGATTCTTCTATTCATTCTGCGTATAAAAGTACTAAAGCAAGATTATCGAAAAGTGAATATTTTTAGAGGTATTTTACTTTTCATTCTAATATTTTCCAGTACAATATATGAAATATCACTTAAAATATTCACTTTTCGGTAACATCATCTTAATACTTTCCTACATAATAATATAAAAGAAATCAATTATTGATATATTAAGGCTCCTAGTCTCTCGCTGCGATTATTTTTGTTTAATGTCGTCAGAAACGAGAAATTGCATACCAAAATATATTATAGTATATTATAGTATATTATAGTATAGTGGAGATAAAAGAATATATGCGTAAAATGATTAATTCAGCACTCATGATTGATTCAGCACACTTATAAAAAGTCCGGACGCTTCCTTTAACCTGAACAATCAATAAGCATAACATTAATATAACAGAAATTATGAAAAACAAAAATAAGTTAAAAACGCACGTTATATTGATGTTTAAAATACTTGAAGTTCCGACATTGACTAATTTTTAGTTATTTATTGATGATTGAGGTTAAAGGAAAGTATTCGGGTACTTTTACAAGTATACCGAATCGATCATGAGTGTCATTTCGTGTGTATATTCTTTTATCTCTACGAGTGTGATATACATTGACAGTATTGAAAAATTGTTCCGTTATTAGCACGTAGTGTGCTACGATAGCATCTAATTCCATCAATGACGTCATAAATGTTAGCCAAATTGTCACTACACTCCTGCATAAACACAGATTTCTATATAATATATTAAACCGTATACCTCTCATATATTAGCCTTATGTACTCTAAAAGTATGTACCAAAATTGGGACACAGTGCATGCGCGAAATAAAAGCACAAAAAATGAGAATTGTTTACATTTTACGTCGCCATGTTGAATTCCAAAGTAACAAGAAGTTTCTTTACAAACTTGGAAATATTGTTTGACCTGCTTTTCACACGAAAGTGCCGTTAAGGTGCCGATAACTGAAAGAGTGTCTAAATATAAATCATAAAGATTATGAGATATATTTCTTTAAGTATTTTATAACTTATAACCGTTCAAGTACTAACAGACAACTGCATTCTTTTAGCCCATATTCGGAACGCGTTTACAACAACGTTAGCGCGCTAACAAGTTTAAAAGATATGAGCATTATCAATATCATTTGTATCATAAACATCGATAATAATAATGCTCTGTCAGGAAAAATCGATAATTATGCATTTTTACAGCAAAAATTTACTCAGAATTACCAGTAAGTTGACTTGTTAACGGTAAGTTGTTTAGAACACAGGCTTTTACGTTCTTGTTTCACGCATAGATTTTGGAATTTACGTACAATTTACATAATAATTATGTCTGATAAGCAGCAGTTTAGTGTATTGTATAGAAGTCTGACTGCAACTCTCGAAATAAAGCAGTTGCAGTGCAATATGGCGTCGTACAAACATGTGCATAAAATGAATTTATTAGATTAGAAACAAAATAAGCTACGTTCCGAAATTTATCGCTGATATTAGAAATCTATAGTTTATGTTACATATACTATAGATTTTTAGTACTGACAGAATATCGGAACACCGAACCGGTATTTGTCAATCACGTTAGAGTCCTGGATAAATAGAGAAGCGATAGGTGCGATCGATATGTGTGATAATCGAAAGCCGCCATTTTGTTTCTCCGCATACGACAGTAGGAGACGTCAAAGCAGGTTAGCTGCTCTCGGAAGCTGGCTTATGGATTATAAAAAAGAAAGCAGGTTAATACAAAACGACGCGTGAAGCATAGCTTAGGCACTCATGGCCGTGTATTGGAATTGGCAGAAAAGTTAAATGACAAGAGAACAAGCTGAAACGATCATTCATCCACAAGTGGAAGCAATATGGCGCTGAATCACGTGATTTGGCTAGCCAATCAGACGGTTTCCCTCGCTCATTGCTTCTCTATTTATTTAGAACTCTACATCGCGGCTGTTACAGTCCACTGCAACCACAGCAATGTTATTCCGAAATACGACATCATAGTGCTGCTAGCAATATCAAATGGTCTGTTCTTTTTAGCTACACTGCTGAACTGGTGCAATAAGTTAAAGCAGGACAAGATATACTCGTCTCACTTTAACTTATTGCACCAATTCTGCGGTGCAGCTAAAAAGAACAATCCAAATAATTTCGAAACGGCTGCGACAGTGCACTATTATGATGTCACACCGCTAATGTGAACATAAAAGAGGAATATACCCTTCTATTATGTCGTAATATATTTTGGCAACATTTATAATTTCTTGCTTCTGACATTATCAAAGAACAGCCATAGCGAGGATCCAGGAGTCTTAATTTATTCCGGCCCGGATTGTGAAAATTTTCAGATCCATGAGATCTAAATACATTTCAGAGTAATTGGGACTCAAGGAACTCAAAAAATTTAAAATCAAAGTTCTCCGACCAGCTGTTTTTCGACCAGAAAATAGTCGAAATATTTATTTTGAGTGACGCTTGATGTACATCTAGTGAATCATATAACGGAAATCGTCATTTTCGACGATTTGGACTTTTGGCAATAATACCTCATTGTTTTTTAAATTTTTATTTTTTATTCTTTTTAATTAGTTGATAAAAGAAGACATAATGAATTAAAAAGAAAGAGATAATGAATTAAAAAGGTGTTTTGCACGGTTACTTTCCACCTCCATTTATCGCTGGAGGTGATCGATAGTGGCTGAGTGAAATTATTTTCTGAAAGGCAGAAGTTTAAACTATATTTCAGTAAAAAGATCTAGGCCATATACCTTTATCATAAATAAACAAATTTTTTAAGACAAGTAAATTTTCTGTTCCTATGTAGGAACAAAGGAACGAAATGGATTAATCATTATACATTGGTGCATTTGCAAAATGCAATGAATTTTATTGTAAGATTTTAAGATAAATCTTCTAGATTTGTTTAAAGTGAACTATTCAATTTGCCCTTCAACGTATAAATGCGTTAAGATGATGTTATCGAAAAGCAAATATTTTATAAGATATTTCATATCTTATATTTAAAAATATCAGAATAAGAAATAAAGTATCTAAAAAAATAATCACTTTTCGATTATCTTATCTTACAAGGGAATGATACGTACTGACACACAAGAATCGCTTTGAAACCGGTATCAACGTATAGAGGGCAGTCTCAAGGGCATTGCTACCAATTCGTTATCATCGATTCGTCCCGGTACTCGAGAAATTGCGAGGTTGGGAATTAACTACAAACAGCGGCAAAGGGAAAAACAAGTTGGTTGCGTGAATGGGGCCCGTCAAGTATCATAGAGGCTGTTCAGTGGTCAGAACAGATCGTCTCTAGCGAGATAAGACTTGTTTTTCCTTTTGTTGCTGTTTGTGGTTAATTCCCAAACTCGTTATCAGGCGGGTTTTAGAAACGAAATGGGCCCATTTCTCGAGTACCGGGACAAACCGATGATAATGAATTGGTAGCAATGCCTTTGAAACTGTCCTCTATACGTTAATATCAGTTTCAAAGCGACTCTTGTGCGTCAATACGTACCATTCTCTTGTTAGTACTTTTATACACAGAATGATCAGAGGAATCGAGTTGTGTTAAAAAAAAGTATGATTCCATAAAAAAATGAAGATAACTTTCATTTTATCTTGACACATCCACTCGAGGTCAAGTTATTTTTTATCCAAATACATTCCCCTAACCACTATACAATCTCAAAGTAACGGAATCTTGATATCTCACTTAGTTTAAGAAATGTTAAAGATGACAATAGTTATATATATACATATATATACATGTATGTGGGTTTACGTGAAATATTAGGCCTGCTCTTTATAGCTGAATTAGCTGCACTAGTTCGCACAAATTCTATTTTCCTCTTCTTTACACGACGTCATAGCAATATATCAGTGTTTCTTTTCAAGTTCCGAGAGTGTGCATTAGTTTAGCGACAAAGAACAGATCTATGATCACATCAAGTGACGTATTATCGAGTTTCCAAGAGTACGATCTACTTGAAACTGCAAACGCTCTGAAGTGTTTAAATAAAGAATACGATTAGTCTGTATGGCGCTTCGAAGCATTTGCAACACAAAGTGTATCCTACTCTAAGTCATTAATCGTCACAGATGATGTTAACCTCTAGAGGTCAACACACTAACAAATCACCGCATCTCGGTGAAAATAATCGAATAGAAAAAATATACACGTCGAATGCGTAATACAGAGTGTATTTTCAATATATTCCAATTTTAATTTCACGATATACGTATACATCTGAATCTGTAAAGCTGGATCTGCAATAGGTGTAACAGACCTTTAAATGTAACATAATTTTTAGCAAAAAGCATTTCGAATCCCAGCATTCTCAGACTTTGCGATTCTTAAGATTTAAATCCTACTACAACTTTCGGCGGCGCGGGAAATGTTTTCTGTCAGAAATCACGTTGTATTTAATTGCTCGGAGCAAAAAGCTCCGAGGGCTTGTTACACCTATTATAAGTCCGAATTAAAAGAGATCGGGGGAGTTCGATAATTAACCTTACAAACAAAAACCACGCTCCACCGGATTTCATATCTCACGCTTACATAATACTTTACACAATTTCTTAATTCATCGTCAAAATGACCTATTCACCAGCGACATCCTCGATTGCCATTGATTCGCCTTAATTACATAGAATGCGGTTTCATAACCGATGCGTGGAAAGACAATACACGTACGATATCGATACGAAAGAGAACCGACACCGCCCGATCTGCATACTCGATCACGACTAGTTATACTTACTATAATGAAAACCATTATAAGTATTCTTTTCACCGAGCGTTGCACTATATTGAGCGTACCGCACGATTTCATTGAAATGATGATCAAAGTGTTTCTCCTGGCAACTACGCGTGTAAGTACAGCGAACTCTACGCCATACCGAAGTGTGAACTTTCGAAAAAAGCACATAAATGTTGTGTCTTTGCGGTTGCTGTCTTTGTTGGAGCGATTCATCAATTGGTTGACGCTACACCGCCCAACCAATCGATAAATGAATCGCTGACAAAGATAGCGATCTAATCAACATTTACGTGACCTATTCTTCGGCATGAAGGCTTACTCCAGTACAATATAGATCTTACAGTCTAAGACCGATATTCATAGTCGGATCGTATATTTGAGACCATCTTAAGTTCATTTCAAGATATTCTGTAGTCAATGCAAAGGAGCCGTACAGTATTTGAAGATAAATTTAAGACGGTCTTATGTATAGGATTCGACTATGAATACCGGCTGTATTTCGTGCAAATCAATCCGGCCAATCTTGCCTCATCGAATGAAGTTCTCACTTCTAAAATAATCATACGAAATTTCTATTCAACAAATGGTCATTAACAAAGCTTGACGATGAAACGTTCAAGACAGCGTAGTTGTCCGCGATTTACCGCGCTAGTTAATAATTCTATTGTTTTCTGTACAATTATAAAGAAATGTAACATCCGTATCGGCGAAGCTGCGATTGAGAATCGTTTTACGCGCAGCCTGAAACACGCATCGAAAACCACGTATAGCGTAAGTACACGAGGTATTTTAAACATCACACATTCTCATAGTATCATAAGCTTCCTCTCAAATTTTTATCCGATTGTGTTACGATAAAAATTGCAAGTGATATTTTTTTTTCAAACTTAGTTGACTCGTGAAATATCGAATACTGCAATTTGCTCGATCAAGTGTGAAGAGTCGGAAGATTTCGGTCAAAAATCATTGAAAACAGAATGAAATACCTTCTTGATGTTTCTCTTCTCGACGTTAATTTGTTCGTGATATTTCAACGAAAATCTTGTTATTTCAAATCGACGTATCAGTGCCACACACTTCCGCATACTATCAGACCGCTAACTCCTACGAAATATATGCCTCCGAAAAATATGTAGAATCATCATGTAACTAGTAATGACAATCACATCCGATTGGTTGTATCACATTAATCCACCGTCACGCTTCTTTTATCCTACTTTAATAAATAGTACGCGATCCATATTTTTCAGGGTCCATTTCTCGATACAACATACGAGGGAGTTGGTGGTCTAATAATAATATATAGAAGCCTGCGGTCAGCGGCAAGAGATTAATACAAATGCGGGATCGCTAAAACGCCTAGTATAATTACGCACACTGATAATTAGATCAGGTTAAGAAAAAAAGACCATTGTTCCGTCTCCTTTTTATAATAATCTAATTACACACACACACACACACACGCACAAGCATACGCTTAAATTCTTAATATTTGACTTTCGCTTTAACCTCCTCGGCGACGCCGCCCCACTTGAGCTTGTAGACGCGCGATCGCCATTGTATAAGAGGATCCAGGACAGCCTGAAGGAAAAGATACGGCCTGGTGGTCTCGCTGAGCAGCCAGCCGCACACAAACTCAAGCTTGTTGAACGGCAACGGGCCGTTCTGCACGACGCACAGCAACGTCCAGTCGAACATGAACCACAGGAGTATATGTACCAAATAGAAAACTAGGGAGTCCCACTCGAATAGCACACTAGCTGCCCAAGAAGCACAACCACCCAGTACGAAGCACTCGCTCAGCGGCTCCAGGACAATGGTGGTGGGTAACATCGCCACCCGCAGTTTGGCCCATCGTCGCAGTCTCGCACGGAAAGTGTCCAACTCGCAGTGGCCGCTGTTCTGCAGCGCCGGCTGCGAGGACACGGTGATGCGCCAGCCGCGGTCGGTCAGCGATTTAGCGTAAAAAAAGTCTTCCGCGAGGTAGATACCGAAAGCCTTCAAGCCGCCGACCTCGTCCAAAGTCGACTTCCTCAGCAACGCCGACATCCCCGTGTGACAGTTTATCCTGAGTAAATCCGCGGCCAGATACATGCGCGATTGCACAGTGCCGAAGAAGATCTTCTCGTAAGCTGCGGCGAAACCCTCGCGATCACAGGTGAACGGCATCTGGTGAACCAAGGCGACCTTGTCGGTCATATAATTCACCATGTCCAACAGGGTGTCCTCCTTCATGCGTATGCCGCTGTCGCTGATCAGCACGAGCTCGTACTTCGCGGCTTCGTACGCCGGCTGCATGTTGTTGATCTTCGGATTCACTCCCACGTTGCAACCACCGACGAACAGTCTGGCCTCGACTTCCGGGTACTTCTCGATCAGTTTGCGCACCAACATCAACACGGGATCGGAGTCGTCCTCGACGCAGAACAGAAGCTCGTATCGGGGATACTCCATGGTGAAGAAGGTCTCGAGATTGGCGAAGAGGTTCGGATCGACCCCCATCAACGGTTTTATCACGGAGACACCCGGCAGCGGCGTCTCGTAGCTCGGAACTTGGTTCACCTTGCGATGCAACTTCCAACGGCCCGCGATCAACGCCAACACGTGCACCACCCACATGCCCGACCAGAATATCATGAAGAATATCGCGAACCCGTACAGAGTATATAGCATGGAGTTCATTTTCCAGAGCGAGGGCTTTTCCCAAGCTACCACCGCGATCTTAACGTGCCGGCTCCGGGCCGGAGACGACACCTTCTTTTCCCTCTCCTCGACGACTCCTTCCGACCGGCCCGGTTCTACCGCGATCCACCGCTACTCCTTGCGAGCAGATATCCTCGTGAGAAGTCAACGGCATAACGGGAGCCTTGACGGCATGCTCCACCCGGTGGATCTCACCTCGAGTGTCGCCTACCATTGCCATTATCAGCCATTCTCATCCTCGACATTGTTTTCTCAGCCGGGTCACGGCTTACGGCGGCGACGACGACGACGACCACGGCGGCAGCGACAACGTATTCGCCCTTTGCAATGCATTCACCTGCCTCTGGTCGTCCCTAACGAGCCGGTCGTGCCGAGTTACACCCGAAGTACATACGGCGCTCCTCTCGTCCCGTTCACCGCGCTCCTAACAATGACAACAACCTCGTCTCTCACGTCAACTGCGCGACCGAATTCTGCGGCCGACCGATGACAGCCGCCGAGCTCCATTCTTCGTTTCTCCCCGTGCCAAGATTCCGCCTTCTGTCGAATAAACGAGACGCGAATACGTAATCCGGTTATGCTGGAACGCATCGCTGTCACCGATCCGCTCAGCCTTACACTCGGGATTATTTAACGTCAACGTGCCAGCGTGATCACCGTCTACATCGAGTCTATCTTCTTCTGTGAATCTCGATAACATTGACACTTATATTGATACACACGCGTCAAGCGCAAGTCGCGTTATCGCGTTTCTGCCGATGACCGGCTTTCATTGGAACATACAGATCGAGTTTCCCCGTTGGATTCTCAAATCTCGTCGTGTTTTATTACGGCGATCGAAATCTTCGCGAGATAAGGTAAGGATTTATCGCGATAACACGACAATTGTCCGATGTCTCGACGGCGCCGACATTGGCCGCCATGACGCGCACGGTCATCGCGTCCCATCGACTCTCTCTCTTCTCCACTTTCCACCCACACTTTAATTTATAACTAGAGTCCAAAATAATAAGATCAACGCGAGTAGCGTCTCGCTTGCTGATTGACTGACGGCGGCCACCAATCGAAACCGGGAATATTGAGCCGCTGCGTTCGAGAACGTCGCTTTAAACCCGCATTAAACTATGAAGTGAAGATTGAGATTTGACCAATCAGTGGAGAAATCACTAAATTTCACTAAACCTGAGTTTAATAGTAACTTACACTGATTGGCTAAATTCAATTCAATCTCTATCCCCAATCCGTAGTCTGATACGGGCTTCATAGCTCTCGTAGCAAGCGCGATGCGCGACGCGACATTCGCTCGACGGGAGAATTCACACTTTGACAGGTAAGCAGAAAGCAAAAAAGCAGCAGCCAATCAAAATTCGCGCTGGTAGCCAGTTTTTGCTTTATCTATTATTTTATCTAACGTACTACCAGCGCGAGTTCTTAAGCAGTAGGGAAGTTTACCAACCAATCAATATATTCCTTTAGATTTACATATTCCAAAAGACGATAAAAGTGACGATAAGTTTGGCCTTAAGCAAAAGTAACTAGATCTTAACTGTTTTAAATCTAGTTACTTCTGCTGGAAAATATCTTACGGAGGAAAGATCGTAACGTAAGATTTGTAACGGTTTCGGTAACTTATCAACTCTTGTACTTGTGTCATTGATACAAGTGCATCAATGCATCAATCTGAAGAACAAGAGTCGGTGAATTCATAGAATGCATCTTTTACACGTCTTTCTTCTTGGAAAAATTTCCCAGCAAAAAACTTATCCAGATACTTAACCGTTTGAATGCCACGCGTCTCTGCTGTTTCCCCGTCCAAACGTGCCAAAGAGCGCTTTTTCGCTTGTCTTATTCCCCATCCAGATATGCCAAACGGTGCGATAGCGCTTGTCTTATTCTCCGATGATTGCATCCAAATGTTAGATTGCAATTAAAATTCGTTCTTTTATCAGTTGTCTCATTATTTCATTTTTACCTAAAACGGAATGGTAGCCGTAAAGTCGCGCATCGACAGAAGCCGAGCGTATGCCGGTTATCGGCTTCGCAGTTTAGAACGCTGGTACTTTTCGAGCGAAACAGAAGAAGCGCAAAATCGCTCCTTGGCACTCAAACGGTTAAATAGATGGTGATCCGTTGGTGAAATGTGTGGAGAACAGGGACGGTGAGGGAGAACTTCAAATTCCAACTCGTCTAGTTTTTTTACGGCCTTTTTCACAATGTGTGATCTGGCATTATCGTGAAGCAATAACGCACCGTGTCTATTGAACAATGCCGACTATTGAGCGCGCAGTTTTTGGGTACATAATGTCAATTTCCTGGCAGTATTTATCAGCGTTTATAGCCTCACTTCGCTTGATAAACGAATAATGCACAATGCCGCTACTTGACCACTATAAAAACGCCATAATTTTCTTTGAATGAAGATTCGGTTTTGACATGTGTTGCGGAGATGCTCATTCGCATCTAACCACGGCGCGGAACATCGATGGCTGTCGCAAAGAATCCACTTTTCATTGCATATCATTATTCTATGTAATATTCTATCATTATTCTGTCAGGAAGCAAAAAAGCGCGAATCTCTAAACGTCTCATCTTGTCCCTCTCTGTCAGTTCATGGGGAACTCATTTATTCAACTATTTCACTTTTTCCAAGGCTTTTAAATATTAAACGACGGTTGACGAACTGCCAATCTCTGATCTGCTTCAATCATGTCCTTTAAAACGGCGTCGTCAATGACAGAGGTTGCATGCCAGCGAAGTAAATTGTCGAGGTTTGTGGACCGAAACTTTTCGAATCAACGCCTTGTCGTCTTTTCACTGGCAGAACCTTCGCCGAAAGCAGTGTTAGTTTGCAACCGCCAATAGGGTTGCACGAAGGAGCGCCGACGAGCCCATTGGAAATGACCAACAAAGATGATGAACTCCTTCGACTCATGACCAATTTTCTGAGAGAATTCTGGTAACGAATAGAGTTACGATTGAGATAGGGCGGCGGCACAAGGCAAGACCAGCAGGACCAATAACCCGAACAAGGACTACAGGCACGGCAGAAACCGACACGGAAAGGAGCGGATCTTATTAAGGTTGTTGTGTTAATATCATTACTTATTTTCTTTATTTGTACCGTTCAAACTAGTAACGCCGTATAAGGCAATCATATCTCGCATAGGTTAAGTAGCGTACTAGTTAAGTCGCGTTAATTATAAGTCGCACGTTAGAAGTCGCGTCAAGAACGTAACAAAGATTAGGATCACTTAGATCGCTAAGAAAAGGTCAGAATGACTTAGGAATGATAAAATCTCTTCTTTTTATCGTCTAGTGATATCCGATCACAAGTTCTAATCTACAATAGGTACTTTAAGCCCTGAATCTTAAGAAATTGACCAATCACAATCGAATTATAGAAGAATAATCAATTGTGGTTGGTTCATTTCTTAAGCCTTAAATACCTATTATGGACCAAGCAAATACTTATTATGGACTTAAGCGGGGTATATGACGATTTAAGCTCTAAGATTTAAGAAATTGACCAATAACAGTCAATTATTCTCCTCACATTCGACTGTGATTGATCAATTTTTTAAGGTTTAGAGCTTAAAGCACCTATTGTAGACCGAATTTAATGGCTATGTTCAGTAAAGAAAGCAACTTTACAACTATTGTAAAATTCTGATTGGTGTATGCTCTTAGATTAAGCCAAATTAAGAGTATACACCAATCAGACGCACGAATTTTACAATATTTGCAAACACTCACAATATCTACTTTCTCTGCTGGACGTGATATATATTATATTTCGCGTTGCGTCAGCCGTATTATAACCGAATTTGAACTTGTACAAATAAATGAAACGAATTTCTTTATTTTTCATGTTGACTTAACGCGAATTTTAACAATATCGTAGTAAATAAGTAAAGTTACGTATATAAATTCACGTGCACGACATATACTTTTCACATGGTATACATACAGCGCTATCTGAATAAAAGAAAGATGAACTACAAAAGCGAGAAGTTTAAAATATGAAAAATATTTATATTTTTATCGACCATTTCATTTGCACCAACCTAATATTACTTACATAGTTAAATAAAGTTATAGAAAAGTATTTTTTCCCAGTAAATAATAAACTTATGTAAAAACCCCTTAACATCGCTGTTCAAAATCCGGCACTTTACGGATCAACTACTTTAGCTGAATTTTTCCACTCTTTCTATTCAATTCTTGCTATTAATATTAATTATTAACTAATATATATGTCAAGATAAATAAATATAAATATTTCCACAGGGAATATAACAATACCTGACTATCTCATTACATACTTCTTTCTCGGAAATATCCCTTCTATAAACCATGCTGGGACAATAAATCATTTTCTGAATATTTCAAGAGTAAAGCGAAGACTTTATCGTGTAACCACCTTCTCACTTCCAGTGATAATACCGCGGTAAAATAACGATCAAATCTCTGGGTACATTCATGATTTCTAGCTTCTTTACAATGTCGACATGTGCTCCGTCATATTTAGACTAACCGATCTTATCATTTATTATTTCAAGTCTGCCGGACGTAAATGTATCATCTGATCAAGTAGTATAAATCCACCGACAAGTCGGAATGAAAATTTCTCGAGTATGAAGTCAACGAAAACTCAGAAGGTCGAGAATTAAAAAAAATTCTTGTGTGTGTGTGTGTGTAATAAATGATTCCAACGACGGCTTGATTAATGACCCGCATATTCGCTACCATGGGATAATTAATAATCTCACAATATCTTGGGTCATCCGGTCAACGTGTATACTTGATTTCGATATAACTTGAACTTTTTTATGCAGCTTAGGACACAGTTTATAATATAATGAAAGAACTTTTTTTTTACCAATTCCCGGAAGTTCTTTCATCGGACCATTGGCTATGCCTTCAACTGCATCAATAAAGGTTCGAGTCGTTTTTGAAACCTAATGTACATTTTCATTTGGTATGTGAGATAAAAATATAAAATAAAATTACATATTATGTATCTTACATTAATGTCGCGCAATATATCAAATGTTATGTTGATCCTTTTCAGATGCGAGATCATGACGGCAAAGCAAAGTTTCCCACCTTTAAATTAAGTAGATCACGCTCTTGTACTTATCTTTACATTATTGAAATCTAGGATGAATATAACGTAATCATTAATTCTAATTTTTGTTTCTTTTCGTCCTTATACACATCTTCCATTGGCGTTATTAAAAAAAAACTTGATTTAAAACGTTGTTAAAACTTTGGTCTTTTATACCTTAATACGAATGTATTAAAAAAAAAGTTCTTGTCGTGAAATTTCGGATCATCGGATAATTTTTTTTAATTAGTACGGGAATGGTACTTCTGCGTGGTGAACGCGATTAACAGTTTGCTCTTTCTTTGCGTAATCACAGCTACTGTAAAAACACCTTTCCTAAAAGCCGCCTGCAGTTTATTCAGTCGGAAAGCGTAATGGTTTGCAACGAGTCCTCAGGAAAGATCTCCACTTTCGCGACGGTACCGTAAACGAAGGGGACCGCTATACCACCGTCGATAACCAGGGCCGCGTCGTTACATTGGGATCTCACGGTGATCTTCGCGCAGAAACCTCGAGGATGCATAAGCTTTGGCACAGGCACTGAATTTGTCACTATCATATCTCTTATAGAATAACACAGTTTTAGATCCTCTGCAACAGAGAACGATACATTTATCTTTTTTTTTATCTTATATGCCTAATGTATGAGGGAAAACGTGTAAATATACAGGGTATCCTATTTTAAATAACGACCGCAAATATTTGTTGAACAGTGCATTAAAAAAAATATTTCATATAAAAGTTGGAAGGTTTAAAAGGATCTATTTGCTGATTTTATCAATTTGGTGGAGGCGTTCGAATAAAGGTTGAATGAAGATCATCGACTTCATTTTTGTATTCACCTTTCGATAACATCACCTTAATACTTCTCTACACGATAATATGAGAGCAATCGATAATTGATGTTAATCATTGCACGTTAGTGCATTGATGCATTTGCAAAATGCAATAAATTATTTTAAGGTTTCTTTTAGATTAAGTAAATAAAAAAGTCCTCTATATTTTACGAACAACACACAAAATTTCGAGTTATTAATTATTAAAAATAGTTATGTATAGAGGTTTCTTTAATTAATAACTCAAAAATTTGCGTGTTATTTGCAAAATGGTAAAGGACTTTTTTGTTCATCTTCATCTGTTCTACGCCCTCACGAAATTTGTCTGGAACACTGTACATATGTAATAGTATAGTCCTTCAAATAAAAGTCTGAAGATCTCTGACTTCTTATTGATCGGTCTAGTTCTTTATTTGATTAAAAACGGCAAAAGAGTGAGGACTGTCAAATAAAAAAACTCTATTTTTAACTAAACATTATTCCACGATAGAAGATGCGAATAATAAAAATAGAAAAAATCACTTTTTAAGAAATGAAAAAACTTATTCTTATAAATAGTATTATATATATACTTGAACTCGATATTAATATCTTTCATAGATAGAGACATTCTGGTGACAAACCAAATGCCATTTTCTACTAAAAAGTCGGCGATTTTCAGGCTTTTACTCAAAAGACTCTAGTATAAACGTGTACTAACCGGCGTCAAATCGTAGACCGCTGTTGAAGATCGTACAGATCTTGTCAACTTCATCGCTGCTGAATTGTCGCTGGGTGTCTACGAGCTCCAGTATCTCCCGCACGGTTTGGTGGCTCAGGCTATGCATGGATCTGTACCAAGATGTCGAGCCTGTGCCGGTGCTCACGCACAATCCGGAGCCTCTCACCTTGTGATACTTCTCTTCTTCATCCAACTTCACGAGCAGAGAGCTCGTCCTTGCCGACAGTGTTTCACCCATGAAAACCTAGCAACGAAAAGTAGACCTGAGATACGTAAGGGAGCAAATCGTCTTATTCGTCTTATTCGAGATACGCTTGTGCATCGATGAGCATTATTAAACTCACTTCATTGAGCGCTAACCACGGCAGACGTCTTTCTCGCGGTAATTCGTTGTGTTCGTGGCTTTCCTGCTCTATGGGGATTCTGCAATGAATATTAAGTACAACGAATGCATTTCCCCATCTTATGAATATTTACCGTTAATCATATTTACTCGTTCAATGAATATTCATCGTCAACCCCATTTATTCGTTTTATGAATAAATGTAACAAATATTAAATAATAAAAAATTGTGTAGAGAATTAGTTTATAATTGTGTATGTGAAAAACGCGAGGAATGTCATATACGATGTGTACCTATCGGTACCGACGATGCGCCCTTTCTCGTGCAGGTGAAATGGGTTCGCCCAGATCTCCTTCCCCAACAAAGTAATGCGAATCCGCCGTCGCATGAGCGTATTGTAATGTCCCGCCTTTAACATCTTGAAAATTTCCGGTATGTTTCTTGTATATCTTGCCGACAACATGAGGTAGCCTTCCGACTTCTCGGGATACGAATTGATGCCCATTATGGGTTTCTTGTTGTTAAATATCAAGTTCGAAGCCAAAAGGAACGTTCCGTCGCCACCAATCGGCAGTATCAAGTCTGCCCATGTGAACAACGATTGGTCCAGATTGGTCCTGAAAATCGCAAAATACCATCATTTCACGACGAACGCACTAATCTTCTACCAGATTACGGAACGTCGAAGGACGCCCTTTTAAGAATGTATCACCCATAATTCAAAATAATTAAAAAATTATGAAAACGTTGCAAATTGATCTGCAATGTATTTAAAAGCGACACCGAAAGTCTGACAGTAATTGAGAGTCTGGCTTAAAAGTTATTCCACTTTAAAAAAGGTTGTAAGGTGAATCGAGTTTGATAAGAGTTCGATAAAACTTATATAGCGTATACATTGAAGTATCATCTAATTCATTGCTCGTTAAATTAGAAAAATATTGACCACTCGAGGGCTGAGATATTTACGACTAAAGTTAACACTTTTTATACGTGTCCTTTGAGAGATTAACATACTATTTTTAATTTCTATTTTTCATATCTTCGGAACTAAATAAAAATAAGATTTTGATGAAAAACTACTATGATATTAAAGATTAATATGCAGACATTATACACAAACTTCAGAATTATTGGCCGTTATGTTTTGAAAGTACAATATACACACATTTAACACATATTTAAACACTTATATACCTTTTTTTATTATCTGCATACCTCTATTAGATCAATTTATGCATAAATATAGCATTGATAGGAAAAATAAAAAATAAGGATATTTTCGTATTTATAATATTATGTATGTACGTCTGCCTTCGTTCAAAATTAATATTTATTATTTAGATAGTGAAATAAATATATAGGGACGTAATTCTGCTAAATAAATACTAGATTTAAGAGTGATGATATTTCCCTTGATACGTTACTGAAAATATGGCACTAATGGGCAATACATCCTTCCTTAACTCCCCCCCTCTCCCTCACCCTTCTTATCTACCTATTGACTATCTTATATTCCACATTCATCTGTTCCAAGGTCTCGGTCACTTGATCTTCCACGGCCTTGGTAGCTGTGTGGCTCGCAATCATAGTATTGTAATCATAGCCCCTTTCCAGCAGCTTCAGTCTCAACTGATTCTTATTGAGCTTAGGCTCCCGTACTTTCTCGAAATGGTATCGCGACAGTTTCGTCACGATGAGAACCTTCCTAGGTACGAAACTTGACGCATTTCGGATGAAAACGTGCGGGCCCTTATGCACAGTCGCGGAATGTAACTGCAAAAGTTGCACAGTGTCTGAAAAAGAAGAAATTCGATGATACCATCAGTCCTCGGATTAACCTGCCGCGTATCAATAATCCTTCCTCGATCTTCGAAGAATCGATTTCAACTCGACACACAAAATTCCTGTGATTTCATTAATTTTATGGTAATTTGACCTTCTCGCGTGTGTATGTGTATGTGTTTAGGAATGGAAATTATACATACGTATAATATATAACATGTAATATACGAAGCATATAATACATAATGTCTCAAAATAATTGCGTACAATACCTAATAGCTATAACATCCTTATAATATTTAATTTAATATTTCAGAATTCTTGGGGTCGCGAAAATCCCAATACAAACATTGTTGAGGAAGATCATCGTTTATTACATCTTTCCAATTTTTTTAATAGTATATCTTTTATCTAATATTTTTTCTATATTTTATCTATATTTCTATATTTTCTATATTTCTATATTTTCTATATTCTATATTTTATCTATTATATCTTTATATTAAGCGCTTTTGGCTATTATATCAAGCGTTTTTGGTTGCAATTTTATCCAAATATACTTTACTTAAAATTAGCTAAAAAATAGAATTTTATTATTCATTCGGCTTTTCTTGGATTTTAGATTGCAAAACAACGTTTTCATTTGTTTTTCACTGACTTTTAAATTGCTAAGTATCGTTGCCTCCATTTCGATTATGCTCGAAAATTCTCCGTTAAAATATCGTACGATAGTCCTGGAACACCCTGTATGTTCTTTGAATATATTTTTGCGGGCTTTATCTCTGATTAAAGTATCGTGCGTGAGATATGCGTTTGCAAGGAATTTGATAAAAGGTTGTTTTAATAGCCTTGAGCTTGTGCTGTTTCTGCTGTATTCTTGAATGATAAGAGATTACTTAATGATGCGGGACGAAAATAACCGCGAAGATCGCAGCTCAATGCTGCATGTTGAGAACGCAGTTACGCGTGCCAGCGCGATAACAACCGACGCCAAACAATCGTGGCCGGTTTTTCAGTAAAGAAATACACAATGGGATGCTTGATAAGAATGTCACAGGAATTGTGTGCTGACGCTGCGCTTTTCATCGTTCCCCACGTGTAAGAACCCGGCGAAACGACGGATGAGGAAAACGCATTTCGTGCGTCAAATTTCCCTTATCGGACGAATAATATTTATATCTCGTTTTTTTACCTGCATAATAGAAAAGATAGAATATTTCCTCCGATATATTTAGACTTCCTATTTCTCACATCTTATTTAAGGAAGAGATAATCTTTGCCCGTATCTCTCACCAAAGGAAATTTCCATCAATGGAAAATCAACACGATTCTCGCCAGCGAGACGAGCGTTAGAATTCTAACGGGGCATTTCTCAATACGGAGATCTCAAGGTCGCTTTTTCTTCGCGCGACATCGCAGGTACGTTTGAGAAACTATGCTTCGGTTTTCCTACTTTTGATATATGTTTAATGAGCGATAAAGCGATGGGACGGCGCTTCAACGCTGATAGCGCGCTCCCCGAACGGCGTCACTTTTTCATAGATCACGATTCTTTGCCACGTGTTACATAATACATGACACTTTTCAAATTTGTGTATCTTTATAAATGTGCTTCTCCGCTCGAATGGTCATTTCTACCAAGGTAGGTTATGTCAATGTCGTCATCGCTGGCGCACCAGCGCACAGATTACCTAACAAACCGAGTCTAACGTTAGGATTCGTTGTGTCAACAAACCGAGTGTGTGACGTTAGATTCGTTGTATCATTCCCCGATGTTATTTTGCCGCTCTTATCGAAACAAACATAATTCGAAGGGGGAACAACGACGCAAATGAGAGAACGAGCGGGATCCACTATGCACGACGTACCGCTTCTAATTTCCATTTGCTCCTCACGAACGCCTAGTATTGATCCTTCTTTATCGACGAGCTTTTTATTGACAAACGTGTGCAAGCAGATCAAGAATATACCTACCGGTAACCACACGAGGATAAAACGCGCTGAGAGGGGAAACGTATCGAACGTATCGAATTGTCATTGTACTTACTGGTGGTTGACCTACGAAAGAAGCCGAGGGACCGCATCTCATGATGATGATCGAGGCACCTGTGCGTAAGCGAACGTGAGTGATGATTTGACGCGGGGAGCCGAGAACCTCCAGGCGCCTTGAACCTGATTAAAACCGACAACACCACGCGCGCACACCGTCCGTACTGCCGTCAGTCGCGCACTATGCAACCATATATGTAATACTACTATACAGCCAGAGTGAGAGAGCCTGTCTCGGAACTACCGTGCGGGAATATATATTTTCCTCTCTTTCTGAGTGTATTGCGAACGTAACACGCATGCGTCAGATTGACGTTCTGCCAATAGAGAAATAAAATGCATTTGTGTGCACATATGTACATGTGTATATATATGTATCATCATCTGACCGCCGCGTCTGCGCACTACACATCATCTGTCCGCTTCTGAGGTGGCTTCCTCTTATAGGCAGTGTAGGACGGCTGGCTATATAGTAGTTTATATGTATGTATGCACCACATATGCGCACGTCCGGGGCCGCCGGGGAGTGGGGAGTATTCGACCGGTGAATCGATGTCAAGTCGTTTATGTCAGAAAATCGATCGACCGCGCGAAAGTTTTGAATTCCACCGGACGCGGTTCTCTGCGATTGGATCCTCCTTATCGGACCTTATCGATAAGCCTAAGTGAAAACTAAATAAAATTCGATTCAGTTTCCACCTTATTTACTCCTCTTTTTGTAATTTATCAAAGAGTAAATTTAACGTCCAACTATATTAATTCAATTATATTTATATATAAGATCTTATTAATTAGTAAGTCTGATATTTTGAAAGTTAAATTATATGAATCATTCCTTTTTCTTTTAAATTATTTATACATTTCATAAATAATCAAAAGTTAATTTAAATAAAAATGATCTCTAAGAATACATACGAGGATGGATCAAATATAAACGGCCTTTTTAAATTGCGCGCCCGTCGGCGGCGTGAAGACCCTGCAACGTTTTGGACAGTGGAGGGGAGTCATGTGGAAGGCAGTAATAACGTTGGCGCGCCACGTGCTTCTACTCTCAGCAGCAATCACGATAAGCGAGAAAGTGGTACATCCCGCAGTTGCACAACGTGTTCCGACCGAGATCCAACTTTTACCTGTTCTACAACACATTCAAAATCCATTAAGATCGGTGTGAAGGATGTTTCTAAATGTTCCCTTGTAAAATCTCAAATGATTCTTCTCAGCCGCTCGTTAAGAATTTACAGTTAAGAAATTTATAGTTCTTAATTATAATAGTTATATATAATAGTTATAAATAATAATTTTTAATTATAATAATTATATATATATAGCCAGAGAAAGAAAAAAAACCCACTATACAGATACACGCTTCGCTTACACTTTATTAATTCATTTGTAATACATTAATTAAGTTTGTTTAAATAGCATCGAGGCTACCTAAAGTACGCCTTCGTATATACTATAGACAAACAATCTAACTTAAATCTTTCTCTCTCTCTCTCTTTCGCTCGCTTTTTCGATCTCACACTTGCATTCACACGCACGCATGCTTGTTTTCCTTTCTCTCTCTCTCTCTCTCTTTCTTTTTCTTCCTTTTACTCTCACTCGCTTCCTCTCCTTCCATGCACTTCCTTTATTTCTCTTTATCCGTTCCATTAATCAATATCAGTTTATTATTACTATTTTACCATTGTCTCTCATTATCATATATATACTACATATATATATATATATATANTTATTCGTACTAACAGTGTAACTGTACTATTTAAATAATAATTGAATTTTAAAAAATTACTTGTTTTTGTTGTCAGTTTGTCGTTTGAATGTATGAGATGTCTAACGCATCGGCTACTGTATGACGGTGCGAGACGTGCACGAACGAAGCGGCACACGGCGGCGTGTTTCTCCGAGAACAATCGGTAAGATCGACAAAATGCCCTACAATATATATATATATATATATATATATTTTATATACAATATATATATATATATATATGCGCTTTCGCTCTCTCTCTTTTCCTTTCTATTCTACAAACAAGAAAGAAACGAAGAAAGGAAGGAAAAGGAGAACGGATTCGCGACACCCGCGAAATTAAACGTCCGAGTAACAGCTAATAACTTGCTCTAACGACAGCTCGCTCGAACGACAATGCGATCCAATAGAAAAGAAAAAAAACACAAAAAAACTCCGATAAAGATTTTATACTATATACACATAGTACATAGCGTATAGACGCGGACCGTCGCGTTTCATCTAAAATTATATATCTGTAGATTTAAAAAATCGCAAGGTAACGATACTTTATACACACCTTCGACGCGCAAAAGCAACGGAACCTTTTGCCGGCAATCAATTAAAAAAATAACACGGATAAAATAAAGAAAAATGCATAATCTCTCGCCAGGAACCTTTCACTCGCGAATTCTCTGCGTAAGTCTCATCAACGATCTTACCGGCTGTTCCGCGCGTTCCCTAAAAAATTTACCTCGCGACGACGCGAAAATATCGTCGCCGATTGTGTTTTCAGTCGCATCCTGCAGGATTATTACTTCTCGCTCTTCATACTCGCTTCCCTCCCCCTCTACCCCTCCCACCTAGCCACTCCTTCCCCTAACCATTGGCGTTTATACTCTAGCTACTAATACTTTTACACACTACGAATGTTTTTTTCATTTTTCTTATTTCTTTAAACCATAATCATTTAGTAGCACGTCACACTACGACTGAACGCCTCTCTTTTTTCTCTCCTTCGTCGTCATCTGCTGTTTTTCTCTCTTTTACTCGCATCTCTTGTTCTCACTTTCCTCCTTCCTTTCTCTCTCTCTCTCTCTCTCCCTCTCCCTATATCCAGCTCTCCCTTCTCTCGCGTTATTACCGACTATACGCTATTACGAGCAATAATGTACATCAATTACATACAAAACAAGATGCAGCGTGAACGCTATCGTTACATCGTCATCGTCGTCTCGCGCAAAGGTCGCAGCACTCTTTTACTCTACGAAGGTACCGCGCGACTTGAATTACAATCGGAGAAACTCACTACTAATCCGATACTTAATCTCTCTCTCTCTCTCTCTCTCTCTCTCTCTCTCTCTCTCTCCGAAGAGCGCAACGCGCTCTCATAGCTCTCTTTTATCTTTCGGCAATGCAGCAACAGCAACGACGACGACAACAACACGTTTCAAAAAAGACCGACTCAAAAAGACAATTAAATCGTCGTCGTCGTCGTCGTCATCCTTATCATCACTATTATCGTCGTCTCGTTCTTGAAGAGATTCCCCTTATTTGCAGGGAATCCGCCGCAAGGTATTTGTCGAAGTTGGCGAACAAGACACACCTTACACAATCGTAACAATCAGCACGTACCGCGACACAGAAGAAACATACACAGCGTTTTTTTTCATCGGATACCTGAATCAAAACCAAAGCCACCTACCCACTGTCTCGTTTTCGCATTTTTGCTCTCTCCGGGACGATTCGTTTCCTTCGAGAGGCGCGCTCGACTCAATGCCGCTTCTCGTTTTACCGCCGTTTTGTGCCCACAAATGATAACTTGCTTTTCTCCCTTTTTCCTTACGCTAAACCGACCGATCTCTGATTCTCGGACGCGCTAATTACTGACGATTAAACGATAATTTTCTCCAACGTCTCCCCTGACGTCTAATTTCGCGTGCCTCTCTCTCTCTCTCTGTGTGTGTGTGTGTGTGTGTGTGTGTATGTGTCAACGCGGGACCTTCGCAATACTCGACAAACGAAAAACAGGAGGCCGAAAAACATCTACATTTGTCGCTCTCTTTTTCTCTTCTCTTGCCCTTTCTCGCGAGTAACGAATAACACGCGTGCCGAATTAATTAGCAATCTTTCGTAATACACGCGTACGACCTGGACGTGCTACGCTACGACTCCTTGTGTTCGGGTTTGAACGGCAGTGGATGTTTCTGGATTTTTGCACGCACGACGTATCACTATTGGAAACGACATTACCTCTCCCTTTCTCTCTCTCTCTTTTCTATTCGCATCGCGATATTTGAAAATTAAACTGACAAATAATTTCGAAATAATCCTCGTTATCTCTTTCTCTATTCCGCGAGCGAGAACGAGCGTTTCTCTTCTCAATGCAAGAGTAACACGTGCGATGATCGTCGAGCCCGTCAAAACAAACCGCGTAATTCTTATCTCCACAGACGCGATCGCGTCTACGTCTAATTATATTAATTTACTAGATTTGAGAATTATATATCAATTAACAGTCACGGCAAAGACGTATATCCTTGTTCCGAAATACTGACGCGAATACCGCCTCTCTTCCTCTTCGCCATCTTTTCTCGAGCTTTCCTACTTCGTGCGTCTCTCTCTCTCTCTCTCTGTCCTCTTCTCCTTTGCGCTCGTGCGAGTTAACGCAATACCAAAGGCGAAAGAATATCGCAACCAAGGAGATGGCCCAGCGAAACGGCGTTGAGATTTCGTCGTCGTCGTCAACTCAAACGTTTTCACTTCGTTCGCTTTTCTGTTTCTACTACTCTACTCTCTACACGGCGAATAATATCCTTATCGTGCTCATTCGTAGGCGAGGTGTGTGTGTGTGTGTGTGTGTGTGTGTGTGTGTGTGTGTGTGTGTCAGTACGCGTATATATATGTATGTATAACTACTCTCTTTCTCGCTGTCACTCTCTTTCTCACATTAATTACTTTGCAAAATATCTCTCTCTCTCTCTCTCTCTCTCACCGACGCGTTGGTAATATTAAGCCCGTATATAATACAATCGCAAATTACACACTTATTCGCTCTTAGGCAATCGTTTACTCGATATAAGTACAATGACCATTCTCGTCATCGTGTCGCTCCGCACTCCCGGGTGTCGCGCAGGATGAATCGCAGAACGACGATGACTTCTCGTCTGATGCCGAGCAGAAGACCTCAGGGAGAATCACGGGATAAGGAGGATATATCTCTCTCTCTTTCTCTCTCTCTCTCTCTCTCTGCGATCGAAGTTTCTCGCAACCGCGTCGCCGGTTTAAGTCTCGTCATACCGAAGCCGAGCCGAGATTATACAAACACGACGGCGGACTGAGGGAGAACGGTTCCGCGCGGTATGATTACTTTATACAACGACAAGATTCGACAGCGGCGCCGCCGCCGTGTCGGTGGTTAAACACGGGGGGGGGGGGGTTAAAGNGGGGGGGGGGATTAAAGTACGCGCGGCCCTCGAGCGCAGGAGGGAGGGCGTGTAGCCTCGCGGGATATCACGGCGATTATAACGAACGATACGAACGGGCGAGCGCATTCAGCGATTATTATTAGTATTAATAATATTATTATTATTATTATTATTATTATTATTATTATTATTGTTACAACGAACGGAAAATGTTCG